CATCGGTAACATTAAGTGGGATATAATTCGTTTGTGTTTCATTTTACACAAGTCTTCGCTACTGCACGCATTTTTCTGTTCCGTATTCTAGTCTCGTTAAACGGTTAGGGATTTCTTGACGAGTAACATGGACTGTGCAACATAATGGAGGATCCGAATTACACGTTATATAATAAATAGGATATTTTCTGCGTAAGTATATAAAACCATGCGTTGTATACACTGTATAAGATTTTCATGAAAAATATTATATTCGTTTAAAACACGATAATACGCTTTTTTTATTATTATATCGGCATATGAAACCTCAGTCATTGATAAATACCCGATGAATCATTTAAACTAAATTAATCTAACTTGTGATAATACTAATTTAGAAATTGGCATCACAGAAGGAGGATTTCGCAATCAGAAGAATCTACGTGTCAACAATATATCAATGATGAAATGATTTATCGATCGAAACGGTACCTGATATTCATCGTGCATGGATTTAATATGGATTTATCATAGATAACAAAAATTCTTTGAAATTCAGAGTGATTAAAATGTTTTTAGTATAGAAGATATCAGCGAATTATCTATATATTTTCATATATATACATATGGTAAGTACGTACATTCAATGGAATGATAGTAGCCATTACTATGTAAACTACATATTTACCTATATCAAGATTCCAGTTATTACGTTGCTATCTTCTACATACCGTAACGCTATTTTTTACGGTGTCGCACAAATAAATGTCACCGCGAGAACTAATTGATAAGACACGAAATTTACTGGGCACCAGGTATAACAAGAACTACACACTTGTCTCTTAAGGATACCCTTGCCAGCTTCTATGCGTTTGGGTCCCGGCTATGGGAGGCAATGATAAAAAATTCTTTGATAAAAAAGAACCGACCCTACCGTCGACGTTCTAATGAACTTCTGTGGACACAAATATCGGTCGACATTGATCCAAACGGAATCGTCAATTACACACAAGTCCAGTACGTGTTCCAGTATTCCAGTTAACGACGTCAGTCTGTACCGTCTCGTCTCCAGACTCACCCTTGACTCCATCCGTCAGCCAATCCCACTGTTCAACTCTGGTGAGAGCGCATGGGTCGGTGCCATGGCCGTCATCACCGGATGGGGTACCCTCACTCAGGGTGGCAGCACCCCCACTGTCCTTCAAACCGTCAGCGTCCCCAACGTCTCCAAAAGCTCCTGCAACAGTGCCTACAGTATGTGGGGCGGTCTTCCCCTTTTTCAAATCTGCGCTGGATACCCTGAGGGTGGCAAGGACGCTTGCCAGGGTGACTCTGGCGGCCCGCTTGCCATCAATGGCCGTCTTGCTGGTATTGTATCATGGGGTAACGGATGCGCCCGCCCTGGATTCCCTGGTGCCTACACTGAGGTTGCTGCCTTCCGTGACTGGATTATGACCAACTCTGGTGTATAAACATCTTCGCTTTTTTTAGGCGCGACCGCATGGACCATGCGGAAGTGCCTTGTTTGATTGAACATCACTTGACTGATTATAACGACAGTGTACCCATAATCTGATTGTGAGGGTGCATCCGCTATTGGATAAACTATTTCATTCGATTTTTTCAAATAAAATGACTTACTCAGTAACGTCAATGCTGGTCTTACTTATAACCTCTCTCCTTTATGTTATATATCCCAAATACTAAATTCCATATGATATTCCAAATTTATACATAAATTGTAATTTGTAGGAATAGAAACTTTTTCATTATATTGACCATGCTTAACTGAAATTCTGACAAGTATTATTAACAATGCTACATGTGTCTTGATATATAAAACCGTTAACGTTACTCTAAGTTATAAAAATTCTAACAAACCGCATATTAAAGTATTAAATCGAATTTGACGAGAATGTATTTGCAACCTCACGAACCAGAAGACTTCATTAGGACGTATAAACATTTTACCGGCCTCTTACTCGATCTTATTAATTAACTAATAATTTCGAGTACTCAGAGAGTACATACCTACTCTATATTACAAACACGTAATTTTCACGACTAAGTACAAGAACTCCCACGTTCGGTATAAAAATCGAGTATATCTCGCATTTAATTCTTAATGAAGCAACACAAAAAGTGGCCTATCAATATTCCTATGATACATTAATTCCCTATTTCTCATGAATGCCACAAAGACAGGTTCAACGTGGCCGCCAAGTCTCAGACCGCCCCCTGAATTTTAACCCCCAATAAATGGAAGGAAAATCCTCACTGTTTACTCATCAGACAAACTACACATATATTTTGTCTGTTTCATTCTCAGCCACCCCTAAGAGTGAAGACACGACTACCACCCAGGGTTCGAAGAAGCCAAGCCAGCACATCGTCGGCGGACATATCACGGACATCAACAATGTTCCCTACCTAGTCCAGATCGAGGTGCTGGACAGGATTGTCTGTAGTGGTAGCATCATCTCCGAACAATGGGTCTTGAGTGTATACCACTGCGTGGTACGCTCGTCCCACGTATACAAAATCCGGGCCGGTAGCAGCGACAAGAACTCGGGCGGTACAGTCCATCAAGCGGAAAGCATCATCGAGCATTATCATTTTCACCGACACAAGTACCTCAACACGCCTATTAACGACATAAGCCTGTTTCTTCTGGAAACGCCAATAAAAATGGATTCGAGCAGACAGCCAATCAAACTATTCAACCACCAGGAAGAAATCCCTTATGGGGCCGAAGGCGTAGTGAGCGGATGGGGTGCTCACGCGGAGGGTGGTCGTGGCGATGCCCTCCGCAGTGTCACCGTGCCAATCATTCCCAAGGAGAAGTGTGCCCTCTTCTTCCCAGGCGCGGGCAAGCTACTACCCCCTGGTCAAATCTGCGCTGGCTATCCCGAGGGTGGCAAAGACTCTTGCCAGGGTGACTCAGGTGGGCCGCTTGTTATTGGTGGGCGACTTGCTGGTCTTGTCTCATGGGGAGTCGGCTGCGCACGCCCTAATAAGCCCGGCGTATATACTGAAGTTGCTCATTTTCGACACTGGATCTACTATATAACTGGTATCTAAGAGTTAATTTTCTTTTTGCACAGTTATATCACTTTTTAATTTTAAGCTCCATGATGATTCTAGCGATGTGCTCAGCGAAGCATCCTGGCACATTGATGAATTTACAATAAAATTGTATCATTGATTTAAAATATTTTTCGATTTCTTCTTATAATTCTTTTTCATCGATGCTCCTATAAATCGGTTGTTTATGTAACCTTACCGAGTTTAACTACGGGATTACGGAACTGGAACAATTTTCTAGTCGAATCTCTCGAGATAACGTACGTACCTACTTTTACAATAGCAGAGTGGGGTTTGGTGATATTTTCCATATTGGTATCGACATTTTTGTCTTGGTCTGTAAAATAACTGTATCCTGTATAGTCAGCGTGTACTTTCCAGGGTGTAACGGTATCAGTAACCTTTAAACAGGATTTCATGTTTCTCCCTCTACGCCAATTCGATTTTGATCTCATAACCTCTATGGCATATTTCTCACAATCATTATTGAAATTGAATAGTCCGACACAGAACGACTGCTGTCTTTAGAGGATAATAAATAATTTATCTATGTTTATTAAATAATTAATAAATATAAGTATCTAATCAATTGGCTGAATGGGTATTCAGAGGACGTTTTAATATTTAAATTCTAAGTGAATATTTATACGAAAGTGACTCTTGACCATATAGCAAACTCAGGTATTACACATAAGTACATATTTTTTTTCGGAATTCCTTAAATACTTGACGCACACTATTTTTTTAAGTGAGAGCCATTTGGCAACGGTTCACATGAATTTCAAGATTCCTTGAGCAGCGAGAGGGAAATCTCGACATTGTCAAAGAGCTGCACGAGTGTGGTACTGAGAAAAGGTACAAGTCTGACGGTATTTGGTAAAGTAGTAAGAAACAAAAAAATCGAAAAAGTAGTTAAGAAATATTTAAAACAACATAAATAAGTATAATTAATTTTATTACTATTTTTAATGCTCCACTTTCAACGGATTTCGTATCGGTTCAATTCTGCGATATTACTGATATACAATAACTCGTGACGTACTATCGTAGAGCAGATAATGATCGATGATAAGATGATTACTGTTTGCAAAATATCGCTGACTACGAATGCTCTCGCGCATCCTACAATTAGACTCCGACGTGCAGTACGTGACGGCAGTCGTTGTCATGCAAATAACTGCACCAAGTACCATTTATACTCGTGTTAGGTATGATTTTAAAAAGTTTTTAGTGATCAGTGGACGTGATGCTGACATGCGTGGGACGAGAAAATATTTTTAAAATAGAATTACATTCGTAACGTTATTGCACACTGGAACTAATCAGCCGTCTGGATAATTGCATCGATCACCATGAAATTTATTTTAAGCAAACTTTGCAATATATATTTTCATTCATCGATTCCAAAGTGATATCCAATATTCGCAGTCCCCCTGGAGAGCGAATTCGATCGGAATATGGATATATGGAATGAGTGCTGTAAACGGAAAGAATTGAATGATATTAGTGTATATAAATACTATTTAAATGCGTATCAATAATTTTGACTCTCCCTCTCTCTCTCATGCTCTTTCCATTAGATTGCAGCAATTCCATTGACGAATTTGATTTATAGATATCCATGTAAATGCGAATAGTAGGATTTTGGTATGGTTTCATGTCTCCCGGCTGTACATATCTGGACAGCTGATCGCCATCCGTCACATTGAATACGTCAGAATTCGTCGAAAGTGTCACTATTAGTCAGAGCCATTCACCAGATACATATGTCAGTACGAGATCCCTATAAACGTGTGAAAGAAAAAAAAGAAACATAAATATCAATTCTTTATACGAATACAAATTTCCTGTGAGCGTAACGTCGACGTTCTTTGGGATATCTTAAATACCTTAAGTTTTTCCTTTAGATCCTATAGGACGTTTGGGTATCGGTGTCAACAGTTCTAGGCATTTGCTTGCAAATTGCCTGAAGGATTCAGTTACCAACTATCGATTTTGAATTGTTGCCAACTGTGGAATCTCAACGCTCGCCTTCTCTTTACGTTGTGCAAAGTGTTTGGAAAGGTGATTGATTCCTCTGGAACGCATTATTTGGGATGGACTTTAGGAAGTGACGGTTGAACCGATTAGCATATGACAGCGACAAGCAATTGTCAGGAGAAATAAAATCGCAGAATTATGATTACATGTGTTTACAACCCAGGCGCACCGCTTGTTATACGTGGTCATCTAGCTGGTATGTATTCCTGGGGCAATGGCTGCATGCCTGGAATGCCTGAAGTTTTCACCGAGGTCGCCTCATTCAGGGATTGGATTAGAGATCGTATTGGATTCTAAATGATTTCTATTCATGGGTGATTCAGTGTGAAGGATCCTTCGTGAAATCTTCATTCAGTTGATTATAATACGTATCCGGTGTACGTAGGAGGAGAGACCTGAGCCACTTGAAACACGATACCGAATAAAATAAAACCGTTTAATCTGCCATCTGATAGTGAATAGATTATAATTCTCTGATCAGCTGTAATGTTGTTTTAAGGAAAAGTGATCAAAATTTCACAAGAAAGGTCTATGAGAGTCATCGGTAACATTAAGTGGGATATAATTCGTTTGTGTTTCATTTTACACCATTCTCCGCTACTGCACGCATTTTGCTGTTAAGTTTTCTAGTCTCGTTGAACAGTTAGGGATTTCTTGACGAGTAATATGGACTGTGCAACATAATGGAGGATCCGAATTATACGTTATATAATAAATAGGATATTTTCTGCGTGAGTATATAAAACCATGCGTTGTATATACTGTATAAGATTTTGATCAACTCTGGTGTATAAACAACTTCGTTTTTTAGGCAAGACCGCATGGACCATGCGGAAGTGCCTTGTTTGATTGAACATCACTTGAACGATTATAAGGACAGTATACCCATAATCTGATTTGTAACTGTGCATCCGCTATTGGATAAACTATTTAATTCGATTTTTTCAAATAAAATGACTTACTCAGTAACGTCAATGCTGGTCTTACTTATAACCTCTCTCCTTTATGTTATATATCCCAAATACTTAATTTCATATAATATTCCAAATTTATACATAAATTGTAATTTATAGGAATAGAAACTTTTTCATTATATTGACCATGCTTAACTGAAATTCTGACAAGTATTATTAACAATGCTACATGAGTCTTGACATATAAAACTGTTAACGTTACTCTAAGTTATAAAAATTTTAATAAACCGCATATTAAAGAATTAAATCGAATTTGACGAGAATGTATTTGCAACCTCACGAAACAGAAGACTTCATTAGGACGTGTAAACATTTTACCGTCTTCTTACTCGATCTTATTAATTAACTAATAATTTCGAGTACTCGAGAGTACATACCTACTCTATATTACAAACACGTAATTTTCACGACTAAGTACAAGAACTCCCACGTTCGGTATAAAAATCGAGTATATTTCGCATTTAATTCTTAATGAAGCCACACAAAAAGTGGCCTATCAATATTCCTATGATACATTATTTCCCTATTTCTCATGAATGCCACAAAGACAGGTTCAACGTGGTCTCCAAGTCTCAGACCTCCCCCTGAATTTTAACCCCCAATAAAAGGAAGGAAAATCCTCACTGTTTACTCATCAGACAAACTACACATATATTTTGTCTGTTTCATTCTCAGCCACCCCTAAGAGTGAAGACACGACTACCACCCAGGGTTCGAAGAAGCCAAGCCAGCACATCGTCGGCGGACAACTCACGAACATGAACAAAGTTCCCTACCTAGTCCAGATCGAGGTGTGGTATAGGAAGACCGTCTGTGGTGGTAGCATCATCTCCGAAAGATGGGTCTTGTGTGCAGCCCACTGCGTGTTCCGCTCGATCGATAAGTACACAATCCGGGCCGGTAGCAGCGACAAGAACTCGGGCGGTTCAGAGCATCGCGTGAAAAACATCGTCAAGCATTATAATTATTACCGAGACAAGCAGCTCGACATCCTCGTGAACGATATATCCCTGTTTCTTCTGGAAACGCCAATAAAAATGGATTCAAGCAGGCAGCCAATCAAACTATTCAACTACAAGGAAGAGAGCCCTGATGGGGCCGAATGCCTCGTGAGCGGATGGGGTGCTCACAGGGAGGGTGGGCATGGCTATGCCCTCCACAGTGTCACCGTGCCAATCGTTCCGAAGCATAAGTGCGCCCTCTTCTTCCCAGAAAAGGGTCACCAACTGCCCCCTGGTCAAATCTGCGCTGGCTATCCCGAGGGTGGCAAAGACTCTTGCCAGGGTGACTCAGGTGGGCCGCTTGTTATCGGTGGGCGACTTGCTGGTGTTGTCTCATGGGGAGTCGGCTGCGCACGCCCTAATAAGCCCGGCGTATATACTGAAGTTGCTCATTTTCGACAATGGATCTACTATATAACTGGTATCTAAGAGTTAATTTTCTTTTTGCACAGTTATATCACTTGTTAATTTTAAGCTCCATGATGATTCTAGCGATGTGCTCAGCGAAGCATCCTGGCACATTGATGAATTTACAATAAAATTGTATAATTGATTTAAAATATTTTTCCATTTCTTCTTATAATTCTTCCCAACTTTTTCATCGATGCTTCTATAAATCGGTTTTTTATGTAACCTTACCGTGTTTAACTACGGGATTACGAAACTGGAACAATTTTCTAATCGAATCTCTCGAGATAACGTACTTACCTAGTTTTACAATAGCAGAGTGGGGTTTGGTGATATTTTCCATATTGGTATCGAAATTTTTGTCTTGGTCTGTAAAATAACTGTATCCTGTATAGTCAGCGTGTACTTTCCAGGGTGTAACGGTATCAGTAACCTTTTAACAGGATTTCATGTTTCTCCCTCTACGCCAATTCAATTTTGATCTCATAACCTCTGTGGCATATTTCTCACAATCATTATTGAAATTAAATAGTCCGCCACAAAACGACTGTTCTCTTTAGAGGATAATTTGTAATTTATCTATATTTATTAAATAATTAATAAATATAAGTATCTAATCAATTGGCTGAATTGGTATTCAGAGGACGTTTTAATATTTAAATTCTAAGTGAATATTTATACGAAAGTGACTCTTGACCATATAGCGAACTCAGGTATTACACATAAGTACATATTTTTTTTCGGAATTCCTTAAATACTTGACGCACGTTGTTTTTTTAAGTGAGAGCCATTTGGCAACGGTTCACATGAATTTCAAGATTCCTTGAGCAGCGAGAGGGAAATCTCGACATTGTCAAAGAGCTGCACGAGTGCGGTACTGAGAAAAGGTAGAAGTTCTGATAATGGTTACATCTGCATCAGTAATGCAGAGGGTGGTTTACGATCTTGTCCAGAAGACCTCGGTGCTCCATTTGTTATCTCCAGCCGTCTGGCTGACATTGGATTTTGGAGTAGTAAATGTGGACAATATCCTCGTGTCTATATTGAAACTGCCTGACACCGAGATTCAATACCAAATAACATCGGTGTCTAAACATATTTTTGTAGATGTCACAGTTGTGATTACTGACTTAATGTAGTACTGACACTGATGTACTCCAATTCCGTCTCTCCCATCTGTACAGTACTACATTAAAACAATTGAATTTAATACACGCTGTAAATACGCATGATTGGCTTTTCCACTATCTGGTAACATGTTTTACATTACACAGTTTCTTATCAGAAATCGGTCCAGAGGATTAGAACTACTAGGATAGGTACTAATCTGCCGTATTAACGGATGTGAATGGAGGCTGCTTTAAAAAGTTACTGTGATGACGTAAATATCTGTAATGTTCTCTCTGCTTATTGAAAATCTATGTGGGCATGCAAGATGTAGTATATTTTATTTGTAAACAGAGTATACATAGCAATAATTAAATATTTCACGATTAGCGTCGAGTTATACCTGACGTATCTTGAAAACCTCTACAGCTATAATTCTATGATTCAGTTGATTATTTGGCAGCTAATAAGTGATTATTGCCAACAAGTGACCAAGATATAACTGATTTAGATTTATTACTGATTAGATATTTCATTCAAATTATCATCCAAACGATTGCCAATTTTAGTATTATTTTTTATTTATTCGATATCTCTTCGACCACGGAGAACATATTTATTCTAACTGATTTACGCTCCTTCACGTTGTATCCCATATCTTACATATATATCGTAAACTGATTATGGCACTTTTAATAATTTCTCGATAAAACAAGTACATCCGTCAAGATCCCCACGAACGACATATGCCTGTTTTTTCTGTTTACGCCAATAAAAATGGATTCGAGCAGGCAGCCAATCAAACTATTCAACCACCAGGAAGAAATCGCTGAGGGGACCGAAGGCCTCGTGAGCGGATGGGGTGCTCACGAGGAGGATGGTCATGTTAGTGCCCTCCACAGTGTCAGCGTGCCAGTCATTTCCAAGGAAAAGTGTGCCCTCTTCTTCCCAGGCGCGGGCAAGCTACTGCCCCCTGGTCAAATCTGCGCTGGCAATCCCGACGGTGGTAAAGACTCTTGCCAGGGTGACTCAGGTGGGCCGCTTGTTATCGGTGGGCGACTTGCTGGTGTTGTCTCATGGGGTGTCGGCTGCGCACGCCCTAATAAGCCCGGCGTATATACTGAAGTTGCTCATTTTCGACACTGGATCTACTATATAACTGGTATCTAAGAGTTAATTTTCTTTTTGCACAGTTATATCACTTGTTAATTTTAAGCTCCATGATGATTCTAGCGATGTGCTCAGCGAAGCATCCTGGCACATTGATGAATTTACAATAAAATTGTATCATTGATTTAAAATATTTTTCGATTTCTTCTTATAATTCTTTCTCATCGATGCTCCTATAAATGGGTTGTTTATGTAACCTTACCGAGTTTAACTACGGGATTACGGAACTGGAACAATTTTCTAATCGAATCTCTCGAGATACCGTACTTACCTAGTTTTACAATAGCAGAGTGGGGTTTGGTAATATTTTCCATAATGGTATCGAAATTTTTGTCTTGGTCTGTAAAATAACTGTATCCTGTATAGTCAGCGTGTAGTGTCCAGGGTGTAACGGTATCAGTAACCTTTTAACAGGATTTCATCTTTCTCCCTCTACGCCAATTCGATTTTGACCTCATAACCTCTATGACATATTTCTCACAACCATTATTGAAATTAAATAGTCCGCCACAGAACGACTGTTCTCTTTAGAGGATAATTTGTAATTTATCTATGTTTATTAAATAATTAATAAATATAAGTATCTAACCAATTGGCTGAATAGGTATTCAGAGGACGTTTTAATATTTAAATGCTAAGTGCATATATTATACGAAAGTGACTCTTGACCATATAGCGAACTCAGGTATTACACATAAGTACATATTTTTTTCGGAATTCCTTAAATACTTGACGCACGCTGTTTTTTTTAAGTGAGAGCCATTTGGCAACGGTTCACATGAATTTCAAGATTCCTTGAGCAGCGAGAGGGAAATCTCGACATTATCAAAGAGCTGGACGAGTGTGGTACAAAAAAAAAATAAAAAATTAGTTAAGAAATATTTAAAACAACATTAATAAGTATAATTAATTTTATTATTATTTTTAATGCTCCACTTAAAGATATATGAATTTCTTGTACTGATTTTATATGCGTTTATGCTATACGTAGATATTGAGCAAGGTAAATGATTCCTTTGAAAAGCATTATTCGGGATCAACTTTAGAAATTGGCGGATGGACCAATTAGCATATGGCAGCAACAAGCAATTGTCAGGAGAAAGAAAATCGCGGAATTATGATTACATGTGTTGAGGTCTATTCGATATCATTAATTACATCGATAATCTATTATACATTAGCTG